TTTTGGGGTCCCTGGAAGTGCCCAGGGAAGCTCTGGAAGAGCCTTTGGGTGCCTTGAAGGGGAATTGGGGTCCCTGGGAGTGGCTCAGGAGAGATTTTGGGATCCCTGGGGTTGGCCACGAGGGTGTCTAGAAGGTTTTGGGGTGCCTTGGCAGGGTTTTGGGGTGYCTGACAGTGGTTCGGGGTGCCCTGGGAGGCTTTTGGGGGAAATAGAGAGTCACTTATTTATCCTGAAGGGACATTGTCACCCGAGGGGGTCATTTGGGGTACTCTCATTCATTTGGGGGTCCCCAGGTGCCTCAGTTTCCCCTTTTTTCCCCTCAGAAACGGATGTCGGTKACCGAGGGGGGCATCAAATACCCCGAAACCACCGAGGGGGGACGCCCCAAACTYGGGGGGCTGATGGACCCCCGGCAGGGCGTCATCGAGAGAACGGGACGCTGTCAGACCTGTGCTGGTGAGTGGAGCCTCCTGAACCCCAAAAAATCAAAATTTGAGGGCTGTGAACCCTCAAAAATCCTCCTCAGGGGGGTCCTGAACCCAAAAATTCTCCTTGGAGGGATCCTGAACCCCCAGAAATGCTCCTGAACCCCAAATCTTCACAAGGAGGGCCCTAAACACCAAAAACATCATCCTTGAGGAGGTTCTGAACCCTGAAAGATCCTCATGAGGGGGTCCTGAACCCCGAAATTATCCTGGGGAGGGTCGTAAACCCCAAAAAATCCTCCTTGAGGAGGTTCTGAACCCAAAAATTCTCCTTGGAGGGACCCTGAACCCCCAGAAATGCTCCTTAAAGGGGGTCCTGAACCCCAAAAAATCTACTGGGGAGGGCTGTGAACCCTCAAAAATCCTCCTCATGGGGGTTTTGAACCCAAAAATTCTCCTTGGAGGGATCCTGAACCCCCAGAAATGCTCCTGAACCCCAAATCTTCACAAGGAGGGCCCTAAACACCAAAAAAATCCTCCTTGAGGAGGTTCTGAACCCAAAAATTGTCTTGGGGATGGTCCTAAACACCAAAAATCCTCCTTGAGGGGGTTCTGAACCCAAAAATTCTCCTTGGAGGGACCCTGAACCCCCAGAAATGCTCCTGAACCCCAAATCTTCACAAGGAGGACCCTAAACACCAAAAAAAATCCTCCTTGAGGGGGTTCTGAACCCTGAAAAATTCTCATGAGGGGGTCCTGAACCCCAAAATTATCCTGGGGAGAGTCCTAAACCACCAAAAATCCTCCTTGAGGGGGTTCTGAACCCAAAAAGCTCCTTGGAGGGGCCCTGAACCCCCAGAAATGCTGCTTAAAGGGAGTCTTGAACCCCAAATCTTCACAAGGAGGGCCCCAAACACCAAAAAAATCCTCCTTGAGGGGGTTCTGAACCCAAAAATTCTCCTTGGAGGGACCCTGAACCCCCAGAAATGTTCCTAAGCCCCAAATCTTCACAAGGAGGGCCCTAAACACCAAAAAAATCATCCTTGAGGGGGTTCTGAACCCAAAAATTGTCCTGGGGAGGGTCCTAAACACCAAAAATCCTCCTTGAGGGGGTTCTGAACCCAAACATTCTCCTTGGAGGGATCCTGAACCCCCAGAAATGCTCCTTAAGGGGGGTCCTGAACCCCAAATCTTCACAAGGAGGGCCCTAAACACCAAAAAAATCCTCCTTGAGGGGGTTCTGAACCCAAAAATTGTCCTGGGGAGGGTCCTAAACACCAAAAATCCTCCTTGAGGGGGTTTTGAACCCCAAAAAATCCTCCTGGGGGGATTCCTGAACCTCCAGATCTTCACAGGGGAGTCCTGAAGGCCCAAATCTTGCACAAGGGAGAGCCAGGTTTGATTTTTGGGTTTTTTTTTCCTTTATTTTGGGATCTATTTTTGTTTTTGTGAGGTTCTCCTTTTTTCTTCCACCCCATTTTTCTCCCCCAAATTTCAGGATGATTTTTCTTTCCATGTGTGGGATTTTTTGAGGGAGAAATTCCTGTTCTTTCTTTTATTTTGGAGTCCATTTTTCTGGGGATTTACTCCTTTTTTAAAGTTCCATTGGATTTTGGGTATTTTGTTTTTCATGGTTCTAAAAAGCCATTCTAAAAAAATGGCTCTAAAAAGTCTTTTTTTAGGCCTGTTTTAGTTCTTGTTTAGGGTTTTTTTAGGAGTTTTTTATAGGTGTTTTATGTTTTTAGTGCTTTTTCCAGATTTTTTTTTTCTGCTTTTTTAGGGCTTTTTCAGGATTTTTTTAGGGATTGTCTGGGAGTTCTTTTAAAAGCCTTTTTAAGATTTTTTTTCAGGTTTTTTTGAGGCCTTTTTAGGGCCTTTTAAAGGCATTTTGAGGCCTTTTTTGAGGCCTTTTTTGAGGATTTTTGGAGGATTTTTGGAGGATTTTTGGAGGATTTTTGGAGGATTTTTGGAGGATTTTTGGAGGATTTTTTTCAGGATTTTTTCAGGATTTTTTCAGGATTTTTTCAGGATTTCTCCTCTCCCACCCCACCAAACCACCCCAAACCCCACCCTGAGGGGTTTCCCCTCAATCCCATGAATTTTGGGGTGTCCCCAGGGAACATGACCGAGTGTCCGGGTCACTTTGGGCACATCGAGCTGGCCAARCCCGTGTTCCACGTGGGCTTCCTGGGCAAAACCATGAAAATCCTGCGCTGCGTCTGCTTCTTCTGCTCCAAGCTGCTCGTGGACTCGGTGAGACCCCAAAACACCAAAATTTGGGGGGATTTGGGGCAGTTTTGGGGTGGCTGCACCCCGAAATGGCCCCGTGGTGACACCTTGGGGACGTGGGGACAGCTCGGGGTGGGGTTTGGGACATTTTGGAGGTCCCTGGGTGGGGATTGGGAGGAGTTTTGGGGTCAAAGGGAGGTGATGGAGATGGGGAACCCAAAATTTGGGGGGATTTGGGGCAGTTTTGGGGTGGCTGTGCCCCGAAACGGCCCCGTGGTGGCACCTTGGGGACATGGGGACAGCCCAGGGGATGTGGGGACAGCCCAGGGTGGGGTTTGGGACATTTTGGGGGTCCCCAGGTGGGGTTTGGGAGGAGTTTTGGGGTGTTTGGGGTCAAGGGGAGGTGATGGAGATGGGGAACCCAAAATTTGGGGGGATTTGGGAGGGCTTTGGGGTGTTGGGGGTTAAGGGGAGGTGATGGAGATGGGAAACCCCAAAATTTGGGACGATTTGGGAGTGTTTTGGGGTGTTGGGGATAAAGGGGAGGTGACAAAATGAGGGGGGACGAAATGAGGGGACATCAAGGAGGGTGAAATTTGGGCCATTTTTAACCCCAAAACACCATTTTTTAAACCTCAAATCACCATTTAAAACCCCAAAATGCCATTTTTTAACCCCAAAACTGTTTTTTCTTTTTCCAGAACAACCCCAAGATCAAGGACATCCTGGGCAAGTCCAAGGGGCAGCCCAAGAAGAGGCTGACCCACGTCTACGACCTCTGCAAAGGCAAAAACATCTGCGAGGGTGGCGAGGAGATGGATCACAAATTCGGGGTGGAGCAGCCCGAGGGCGACGAGGACCTCACCAAGGAGAAGGTGCCTGCCCCAAAAATCCCATTTCTGACCCCAAAATTCCCGTTTGTGACCCCAAAAATCCCATTTCTGGGCCCAAAAATCTCTGTTGTGACCCTGAAATACCCATTTCTGGCACCAAAATTCCCATTTCTGACCCCAAAAATCCCATTTCTGACCCCAAAAATCCCATTTCTGGGCCCAAAATTGCTAATTGTGGCCCCGAAATTCCCATTTCTGACCCCAAAATTCCCATTTGTGAGCCCAAAATTCCCATTTCTGGGCCTGAAATTCCCATTTCTAGGTCAAGTTTCTAATTTCTGGGCTAAAATTTCCCATTTGTGGGCCCAAAATTCTCATTTGTGGCCCCAAATTCTTGGCTGCAGGTGCTACCAGCCCCTTTCTAATCCAATTTCTGACCCCATTGACCCATTCTAACCCCATTTCTGACCCCATTGATGCCATTTTTTCCCATTTTTTCCCATTTTTTCCCCTTTTCACCCCATTTCTCCCCAATTTCCAGGACCACGGTGGCTGCGGGCAGTACCAGCCCCTTTCATTACCCCATTTCTGACTCCATTAATGCCGTTTTTTCCCATTTTTCCCCATTTCTGACCCCATTAATGCCGTTTTTTCCCATTTTCACTCCATTTCTCCCCAATTTCCAGGGCCACGGCGGCTGCGGGCGCTACCAGCCCCTGTCATTATCCCATTAACCCATTCTAACCCCATTTCTGACCCCATTGACCCATTCTAACCCCATTTCTGACCCCATTAACCCATTTTTTCCCCATTTCTGACCACATTAATGCCGTTTTTTTCCCCTTTTCACCCCATTTTCCCCCATTCCAGGGCCACGGCGGCTGCGGGCGGTACCAACCCCTGTCATTACCCCATTTCTGACCCCATTAACACTTTCATTACCCCATTTCTGGCCCCATTAATGCAATTTGTTCCCGTTTTTTCCCGTTTTTTCCCATTTTTTCCCATTTTTTCCCCTTTTCACCCCATTTCTCCCCAATTTCCAGGGCCACGGCGGCTGCGGGCGGTACCA